AGATCATGGTGCTTGCAAAAGTATATTTAGAACGATTTATGTCTTGCTGTGTGCTGACCTTAATGCCTCTTGTACAGTGATTACAGTATACGTATTTGGGTATATGAATTTTAAGCAATATGCTCCTGATCCTTATGTTTGTTGCGCTGATGATCTCTTTATATTGTATAATTCTGTACTTTGGTATATGTGCTGAATTTATATGTGTTAAAAATATCAAGTATTTCTAATTCAATAATGCCTGTCCCTATTGTGCGAATTGTGTCATTTATGCTTTAGTTGCTAGATAGCACTTACACGAACTAAGATTTTGTGATGTATCAGACGTTCAGATTAGTGAATGTATATTTGAACATTTGTCATTTGTCGTCCTCCTGATTCTTATGTTTGTTGCGCTGATGATCTCTTTATATTGTATAATTCTGTACTTTGGTATTGGTGCTGAATTTATATGTGTTCAAATTATCAAGTATTTCTAATTCAATAATGCCTGTCTCTATTGTGCGAATTGTGTTCTTTATGCTTCAGTTGCTAGGTAGCACTTACAGGAACTAAGATTTTGTGATGTAACAGACGTTCAGATTAGTGAATGTATATTTGAACTTTTGTCATTTGTCGTTTTGCTCTTTGCAGATAGAAGTCATTGTCCTTTTTTTGTACTAGGCTTGAAGTTATCTTTTTCTTCTTCTTTGTTTTCTTATTTTGTTCAACGCGAGGAGCAGCTTTTGCTTACTTTAGTTTTGAGACGGCCGGGCCACGTCATACAAGCCTCTTGGGCTTTGACGAACCCGACCTTTGGAAAACGAAAAGAAAACAACAAACTATTATTATTATTATTACTATTATTATTATTATTATTATTATTATTATTATTATTATACCAGCGCAGTCTTCGTCATCGTTGCCAGAACTAATTGCAAGTACTCTCCCAGACACCATGTGATTGGTATCTGATTTGCCCGGTTTCATTATCTATTCGTTACTTTCCTTCCCTTCGAATATGAGGAAATGCTCCCTATCATCAACGTTAAAATGTATTAGAGATTGCGGTAGAGCGGACTTCTATTCAAAAAACCAAAAACTATGCCATTTTCTTGACGGCTATTCAGAAGGAGTACTTAATTGCTCAGTGGAAACAAAGCGGAATATGGTTAAAGCTATGGTTTATTCTCTAGCACATAGGTATATTCATTAAAAGAATTCGTGCACAAGAAAGCAAGCTCTGGTAAAACACAACTTTCCACAGAATGTTAAATTAAAAAAAAAGTTTTTTTTTTTCGAGCGGCAAAATTGAAGCCAACAAGCGAACGCAGGGACGCTTATCAAGCTGTCTCTGAAAATTATAGTAAATCAGTTAAAAATGCGAAGCATATCTTTCTTTTCATAGCACTTCCTTTTATGCTACTGGATATATTTTTAGCGGATTTAGAACACCGTTAATTACAGTGGTAATACGAATATACCTTTTATTTGTTCCGGGGGCACACATATGCTTCATTGAGTGTGCCGGAAGGTTAAACAAAGTTTTTATAAAATAATTTTTAGCTCCTGCAAATGAATTTGTTCACTTGTTACATTCAAGCGGTCCTTCAGGAATTAACTGTGTTTTTGTTGATGTACAAGCTGTGCATGACTGAAAAGATTGGATTAAAATTTATAATCTGCAAGTAATTGCAATATAAATTTTTAATTAGAAATGTTCTAATATTATTTTCTCTTGGCTATTTTTTCAGTCGCTAGAATCAGGTGCTGCCTCCATTGAATGGAAGATTGGTATAGTGGTTTCATTCCATTGATCCGGTGACATACTTGCCGTATTCAATTAGGTTGGCTGAGCATGGCTTGAGAAAGGCATATGTTTATGCGAGGCTCGAGTTGTGTCCTTCAGAAATAATATTTATCGCTTCCTAAATTGCGACTTTATGATTGATTGTGTTTTTAGACTAGTAAAACGCAATATATAGAGTATTATACACTCCAGTAATTAATCAGCTTCGCACTTTAAACGTTGACCCTCCAGTATCACACTGAACAGAGACAGTTTTAACTAATCGTTTATAGTTTGGAAATGTTAATAATAACAATTTAGTTTTCCCTCTGTATACTCTGGTGTACCTCGAGGTTAGCTAATTGGTCCATGATTGTCTGTATTTATATAACCAATCCAATTGCTAACATTTCATCCTCAATCTGTATAAAAGCTGGTGACTGCGTTTTGTACCTAACTATAACTTAGCAGTCTAATATTTTAAAACTTCGAAGGGCTCTTGATTACATAACCTATTGGTGTAATACTTGGTGGAAAAAGCAAATACTAATACATATAGGTTAATGAGAGTGTCTTGCTCTAATAGTGAATGCCCTACGTATAACATTAGCAACAAAATCCAGGAGTCTGTTTCAACTTACATACAGATCGCCATGTATGTAACTTCTAATCTCTCCTGTCATACACATGTGATGTGCAGTTGTAGTTCCATTTGTCGATAACGTGGGATCACGCGGGTTTCCTCCGGCAAGCGCTCGACAGGAGGCATTCGCGGATACTAAACTATATAGTCACATAGGGGAGCATGGAACATCCTGCTCAAGAGGTGTCCTGTCTGTTCCATCGGCAGCCGCCTGGGCCGCCAAACGCGGAGGCTTCTATCAGGCTCTTTGCGATCGTCATAACGCCTTATTAATAATAAAGACAAAAACTACCGTTTATTAACAATATTAATGAATAATTTTTATTAAAAAACTCGATTTTGTACACGTAATTTGTGAATATTTCAATCCAACAGATTGAGAAGTTTGAACACAATTACATTTTCTCTGAGGAACAACTGTGAATGTTTCTGATGCAAATAGTTGTTAAATTTGTGTTGTTTTAGGTTTAGAACTCACTCTCCTGCTGCAACGCTCCGGCGCTGAGTTTTTTTTTTGGAAATAAAAATATATAAATAAGGAAAGATCTCTTTTTTAACCACGAAAAGGAAAAATTGAGCAAGATGCTCCAGTGGCGTATTTTCTTGTTCTGTCTCTGTGGCTTCTTGATAAAATGTTAAATAACGTTCTGGTTCTTACTGAAGCCCTGATAAAAGACAAGCAACACACGATATAATTATTATACTGGCTAAAATAAATAGATAATATCAGATACGATTGCTCTAACAAACCACATGTTAAAGATATCAGAAGTATACTTCGTATAAATGCTATCCTAAAGCGATTATCCTAAAGAGAGCGTTAGAATGATCCATACCGTGTTGTTTACAACCCCATGAAATATATCCGTATCGTAGCAAATACTCAACGAACGTATTTAGGATAACATACTAAATACCCATTTTAAAATGTTTTAGAGTAGTAATCAAGTTACATTTACTCCGAATTATCTTGGGAAGAGCACAAATTGACTGAAGAAGTAGTTATTTTTTATGTATGTATGTAAGAATTAGTTTTAAAAAATGTATCTGAGATACTAAACACAAGATAGGAAAAACTCTAATTAAGTTAGACTAGAAATTACTCTAGGAGAAATGTAGTTGCAAGATACCAAAATATTACAAAAAGTATCTGATATACAGCACCTTGGGTAAAGTATTTAAGATAGGCACACGTCTGAAAGGTACAGACGGCCGAAGAAACCACGCGAGAAACTACGGGTAGCTACAGCATGCCAGCTAGGGAGATCTATAGGGTTAACCATAAAACAGTGTTTACCACACCATGCACCAAGCTGTAGACGGCTAAAGAAGCCAGGATGGAAGCTATTGGCAGCTATAGCATACCGACTAAAGGGAACCATTGTATAAGCAATATACGTTTTTATCAGGCCGCATAATGAGTTATAGGCAGCTAAGGGAGCCCTGAAAAATCATTTGGATGTTATAGTACACCGAATATAGAGAGCACCGGAAACATCTATCAGATGTCATAGAACCAGAATTAAAGGGAGCCATATAATGAGCCAGAGATATATTTTCAGGTAATCACGAACTAAAAAGTCTCTTATAAAAAAAATCAAATTTGGGAGTTTTACGTGCCAAACCAACGACGGGTATCTGGCACGCACCAGCGGAGGACTGAGGAATAATTTTGACCACCTGGGGATCTTCTGACGTACAACCGAATGCGGCGCCTTCTCCGCAATATTCCTCCGCCATATCGCGGGCACATTGGCCGGGATTCGATCCCGCCACCTGGGGATCCGTAGGCCGGCGCTTTGCCCCGGTGCCACCGATGCAGCCAAACGTCTCTTACAGCCGACTGAGAACAGGATATACTACAGCATGTGGGGAAGTGAATTACAACAAATAATGGCGGAACTGCCGGGCTGAATAAGTTGCTTCCAATTGGCTATCGTTTTTGCATGATTCTGAGCACCCTCAGTGAGTGGCACATCTGTGAGAACTCTAGCTGCCAAGGACTACCTGCGGTGCCTCCCGACTTTTGTAAGGAATCGACGTGCCTTCTTGATCCTTTGGGTGAAAAAAAACACAGGTAACTTCTTTCTTAAAGGGGCCATGAAATGAATTTTGGGCTTGGATATATGAATTTAGATTCAGATTTTCCTAAACACATATCACTTATTGGGGCGAAAGAAAGAAGGTAGAAAAAGCTTGTGTCTCGGTACAATAATATGAAAACATAGCAGACTATTTCACACTTACTGTTATATCTGCGGTGCAAGGAGTGGCCAGACGAAGGAAGGACTGCGAAACAGCTTTATTTCCGCAGAGGCCGGCAGCGATCTGGCTGCGCGTATGACGGTGCTCTTCTTATAGAGCGCCCGGTGACGTCAGTACTACGCGTACTGCTGATAGCAACGGCAGCGGCCTCTAGCACTTCCTCCACCGCATTTTGGAACGTCATGAGGCTTCATAGCGATCGGGGGGTCTTCTCTGGCGTTGTGGGTATCGCCGAGGCGCAGCGTTAGTGGGGGTGACGGGCACCGTTTGTCTTGCGGAGACAGTAGACGGAGGTGGTACGTCGGCTTCAGACGTAGGATAGATGGTGTCGGTATCGTCCTCCCCCACAAGGGACGGCGCTGTCACTGCAGTAGACGCTGAGCGCAGGTGGTCCTTGTGTCGCCTCCAAGTACGGAGTCCATCCGGTGTCCGCCCCTTGACCACGTAGGACACTGGTCCCGTCCGCTGCAGTACTGTTGCGTGGAACCATGTGGGGCCGCTCCTGAAATTACGCACGAACACTTCATCGTTCACTTCGAACACACTGTTAGCACCCCTGCGCCGTGAAGTCTGTTCAAACTGACGTGCTCGGATAGTACGATCCAGAGCCGGCTTCAGTGCATCCAACCGTGTTCGTGGCCGACGACCCAAAAAAAGAAAAGATGGGGTTTCTTGAGTCGTCGGATGCGGAGTGTTGCGATATGTCATTAAGAACTTTGACAAGGTTTCCTCCATACTTTCAGTTGCAGGGCCTTTTCGTAGTGCGTTCTTTAGGGTTTGCACAAATCTCTCTGCGAGTCCATTGCTGCTGGGGTGATATGCAGAAGTGAGAACCTGTCGAACTGCCTGTTCTTTAAGGAACTCTTTAAACTCGGACGATGTAAACTGCGCACCGTTATCACTAACCAGAGCTTCTGGTGCCCCATACCGAGCGAATAAATCGCGCAGTTTTGTTATCGTCGCTTCTGCGGTGGTAGACGTCATGACAAAAACCTCCGGCCATTTAGAATGCGCGTCTACAATGACTAGTAGCATACGACCGCGAAGAGGGCCCGCAAAATCTACATGTACCCGTGACCACGGTTGTGTCGGCCATGACCAAGGGTGCAATGGTGCCTTTTCTGGCATGTGGCGCTGCTGTTGGCATGCCGTGCAGTGTCTCACTTGGTTCTCCAAGTCCGTTTCCAAGGAGGGCCACCATACGTAGCTTCGGGCGAGTGCTTTGCTCCGCACTATTACTGGGTGTCCCTGGTGTAGCTCCTCCAGGACCAGCTGTTGAAGTTTCGGGGGCACGACGACTCTCATTCCATGCATCAGGCACCGCTCGTGGACTGTGAGTTCCCTGCGTCTGTCAAAATAGGGCTTCAACACTTTATCATCAAGATGTGATGGCCATCCCTTCTTGGTGAAGTCTACGACCAAGCTGAGGACGGGATCACGCTCTGTATGACGCGCGATGTCCCTACTGGTGACTGGTAGAGATGCCAATCGCAGCGTATAAAACGTCTTGTCGTGACTGTCGTCTACTTCTGTGGACTGCAACGGAAGTCGTGAAAAACAGTCCGCGTCCGCGTTCTCTGCGGACGTCCTGTAGGCAAGTTTATACTTCTAGGCTGACAGAGTTACCGCCCACCTCTGCAGTCTTGCGGCGGCTATTGCCGGGATCCCACTCTTTGGCCCAAGGATCGCTTGCAAAGGTTTATGATCAGTAATCAACGTAAACTCCCGACCATAAATGTAGAAGTGGAATTTCTTGACGCCAAAGATTAGGGCGAGCGCCTCCTTTTCAATCTGGCTATAGTTTTCCTCAGCCTTTGATAATGTTCGGGAAGCGTAGGCAATTGGCCTTACCGTGCCATCTTTCATGACGTGCGACAGCACAGCGCCGAGACCATACGCAGACGCATCGCAGGATAGCTGCAGCGGGCGTGCCGGGTCGTAGTGTGCCAGCACCTCCGTCGAAGACAAGATTTCCTTGATGGCTTGGAAGGCATCTTGACATTTCCGATTCCAGCATCAGGGAGCATCCTTCTGTAGTAACCTGTAGAAAGGCTTTGCCAGCGTTGCTAGCCGTGGCGTGAATTTTCCATAGTAATTTATCAGTCCAAGCAGTGAACGCAACTGTGCGATGTTAGTAGGCGCTGGGGCATGCAGCAACGCTTGAACTTTTTCCTCGCTTGGCTTGACGCCGGTCTCGCTGATAATGTGCCCCAGATACTGCAGGCTTTCTTTGAAAAATTCACATTTTTCACGCTTGACGCGAACACCTTTCTGCTGAAGTGTACAAAACACGGCTTCAAGGTTCCTGAAGTGTTCTTCAGCGGTTGCTCCCGTGACGAGAATATCGTCAAGGTAGCATATGACACCCGGTAGTCCTTTAAGTATGTTGTCCATAATGCGCTGGAACAACGCAGGCGCAGACGCTACTCCGAAAGGGAGTCTGTTCACCGCAAAAAGCCCTTTGTGCGTGTTTAGTGTGAGAAGTTTTTTTGAGTCCTCCGACATCTCTACCTGCTTGTATGCCCTGCTAAGATCTAGCTTGGAAAAGTATTTGCCTCCGGCGAGCGCAGCTAGTATTTCCTCAAGTTTCGGCAGGGGGTACTGCTCCGTGTCTAGGACAGGGTTCAACGTTGTTTTGTAATCCCCGCACACACGTATGGTGCCGTCCTTTTTAACTACCGGTACAATAGGCGTAGCAAACTCACTGGTTGACACTTGCGTAATGACGCCCATTTGTTCAAGCTTTTGCAACTCTTCCTCTACGGCCGACCGGAGTGCGTAAGGCACGTTTCTCGCTTTGAGGAACTTCGGACGTTGCTCTTTCAAAAATAAAGTGGCTCGCTCACCTTCTATCTTGCCAAGGGTGCCGTCGAAGATGCGGCTGTACTTGGCTTGAAGTTCTTTTAGGCGTGCCTCGTACTTCTTGCTTGCATCAGACCGATGAGAGTCCGACAGCTTGTGTACGCCGCAGATGTTGTCCCAGTCCAGACGAAGACGTGTGAGCCACTCGCGGCCCAAAAGAGGCGGGCCATTGTGGTCAACTACGTAGAGGGGTAGAACGTCCTCTTGACCCTTGTATCTTACGGACGCTTTGACGAAACCGCAGGGTTGCACGACTTCCCCGGTGTAAGTCTTGAGGCGTAGCTCGGTGGGTTCAAGCTTCAAAGGAGGCTGAAATTTCTTGAACTGCTGCTTCGGTATTATGGACACCGTGGCTCCCGTGTCCAATTCCATGCTCAAGGAAGTTCCTTGAACTTCCACGTCGACGGTGATGGGTCGCCGGCTTTGCGGTGACAGCATCTTGACGTTGAATGTGTCGTCGCTTTGAAGAGTCCGGACCCACTTCTTTCCGCCAACAGTCTTCTTCTTGGCACTCCGACATGCACGCTGAACGTGACCCTTCTTGCCGCAATTCATGCACTTATCTGCAATGTGCGGACACGCCCGGGCGAAATGCTTATCAGAGCCACAGCGATAACACTCGAACGACTGTTTCCTTTTCGCGGAATCTTCGGTACTCATCTTGTGCAAGTCATCGCTCCTTTCTTTTGCGTGCGCCTCCTGAACATTTTTTTAGCTTCTTCTAACGCGTGTGCGCGTTCAACGGCTTTTTGAAATGTCAACGTTTTATCCTCTGCAAACAAATACCGCTGTATGTCCGCACGGAACAAACCGCACACGAACCGATCTCTCAGCGACTCATCTAGGAAACCGCCAAATTCACAGGTTTGAGAGAGCTTCCTGAGCTCCGCTACATATTGTGCGATACTCTCGTGTTCCAACTGACTACGGCGATGGAATTTCGCTCGTTCTCCAATCACTGATACTCTCGGTGACAGCTGGTTTCGCAGCAATTGGGTTAGTTGCTCTAGCGTGTTTTCTGACGGTTTGGCAGGTGCCGTCAAAGACTTCAAGAGACTGTACGTTTTAGGCCCAATAACGCTTAAAAAAGCATGCACCTTGAGGTCGTCAGGTATTTTGTTGATCAGAAAAAAGGACGTCAACCTTTCTTCATAAGACTGCCAGTCACTCACAGTTTCATCGAAGGCTTCTACTTGGCCGATATGACTGGAGGATGCCATCTTGAGAAACTTGCTGTCGCCGAGTACCCAGCGGCGTGCGGTGATGTTTCGCTGTCTGTTTGGACGCAGCTTCAAGGCTTCTCACCTTCGTCTTGGCTTTGTTGCCCCCATCTTCGTCGCCAGTTGTTATGTCTGCGGTGCAAGGAGTGGCCAGACGAAGGAAGGACTGCGAAACAGCTTTATTTCCGCAGAGGCCGGCAGCGATCTGGCTGCGCGTATGACGGTGCTCTTCTACTACGCGTACTGCTGATAGCAACGGCAGCGGCCTCTAGCACTTACTTTCTTTAAAACCTCTACATCTTTTCAATTTGACACATCTGCGGTACCCAAAGCACGTCACCCCATCTCCAAGCACACCACAAGACACCCTGCCTCACTATACTCCGTTCACTCCTAAAATTACAGTGCTGTGAGAGCTTTCATCACCTAATCCCATTATCTGCGCGTAGGTATGCACAAAGGCGCGTGAAAACGTGAAAAAAAATAAAAAGATACAAGTGTGGCTGGCCCAACGAGCATTCCACAGCGCTGTCAGCATAGGCGAAATCAACATTTGTCTCAACTTTGAGTGGCGGGTGAGTCTTTTTTTGGGGGAGGATGACAACGTCCAGATGTACAACGAGGGTCCATGCAAGCGGGGAGTACATGCTTTCGCTACTTTTGAAGTGTTCGTAATGCTGCGGGATTTGTGAGTTGAGGAGGGTAAGAAGGAAGACGTTAAAACATTGTTTCATGGCCCCTTCAAGGAAACGACTAATCTGACGAACGTGTCGTGAACGCATCTTCATGACTCGCTATTGAACTGATCTGGCTCATATAGCTGAAATCGACTTCAAACCTACCAATCTCGAAACAAGTTCAACTATTTCGTGAATAACAAGGCAGTTGCGGTGGGCGCCTACTTCCCCCAGACGCCTAAGGTACGATCCGTGCTTCCTCCCCCCCCCCCCCCCCCCCCCCCTTCCCGGGGGCCGGCGGGGCGGGTCTTGGCCGGTTCTTGGTTTTAGCAGACGATATTTCTAATTTTTGCGCTTCTTTTAGAGCGACGGGAATCTCTGTAATGCACAATTTTGTAGTGTCTTGAGTTGCCTGCTTTGGCATTCAAGGTTTATTTCTCAGAGCACAGTGCAAACTGCATTTGTACGTGCCGTAATGACCCATCGTTATACAGAGATATTCGACCGACGCCGCGCATTCTCGCGTTTGTCGTGTTGCGCCATCCGTTGGGAGCACATTAAAGTAAGCTAGCACAGTCTGCCAATGCCGTCGTCTTGCAGTCACTCACGCTCGGCGGCGTCGGTGATGTCCTTCATTTTGCGATAATCGAAAACGACTTCACTTGTGACATCTTGTTCGCGGCTGTACATATCGGCAACTTAAAATATCGACACCGGGGAATGTACAGAACGTAGCTCTCATGCCAGTCCTCGCTAGGGAACCAAGAGTCGTCGCACAGTCACCCGAGCACACGTTAAACATAGGATAATCGTGAGTCGCTCTCGGCAGATAGAACCACACACTGAGCTTAAGAAACCCATAGGGGTGACCAGGTCTCCTGCGTTACCCAAGGGGCTCCGCGAAAAGGGATTTCTTAGGACTTGTTTTGGGTGGTACATACTAGAGCGTCTCAAACTGCCTCACGTGTATACTCCGTTCACCATTAAACTGAGACTACAGGCAATTCCACAAGCACTTGAGTTCGAGGTCGCTGCTTTAAATCGTTATTTCGCAGAACAAGCTCTCGCGCTAAAAAAACATGTCTCAGAGCATAGCCTCCTCTATACTTAAAAAGCCTGGAAATTCGAAGACGGAGCCATAGAGTGCCCGGTTTTCGGATTTGGATCGCGGGGATCGGTCAGCACAGACCAGCAAAGAGCCATTTCTGAGTGACCTCGACGTCAACGCACATCCTTTGCAGAGGCGAGGACCCGAAACTCACTTGTTCGCTCGGGAAAAGTGTGTTTCGGCATCTCGCCGCTGCGGGTATCCAGTCACATGGCTCTCCTTTCATCCGTTGTCTTCCGCTCTACATTTTCCATTTCGGCAGCCGCTTCTCGTTGTGATCTGCCAGGCTTTGTCAGTATACAGGAGGCTATGCTCAAAACCAGGAGTGCGGGCTAGCTCCCACTTGTAGCTTTGGCCGCTGTGCCTGCTTTGATGGAGAACGCGCAAGCACAAGGAAAAAAAATCGCACGCTGTCGAAGGACAGGTTAAATGTATGTCCTAAGAGCACCCTAAGAGCCGGGCCGTTTACATGCTCGAGAGTTTAGCTACATTAACGGCTTGCCAAAGACTACTTTCTTATTCAGTCCCAAAATGTCAACGAAATGTGAATGCTCAACATTGCTGTTACAAGAACTGCCGATCGCATTCCATCATTTGCTTTACTTTCACTTTTAGTATTTGACATAAAACGGAGTATTTCCACCGAACAGTGTTGATCCTCGAACGTCATCACCTTAGCACGTTGTCATCATTGTTGTAAAGTTACCGTAATAGAAGTCTTGAGGGGCCTAAGGTATTTCAACCTTCCTTCTTGAGTTCCTCAGGTTAGAGAAGGAGATAAGGGAAGTGATAAAGAATGGGTATCGACCATGGTTTGACAGGCATACCATAAGAAGTAGTCGGGAATACAGTATCTCAGATACATGTATTTTAAGGTGAAAATACAAATAATGAGATGGCTAAGTCTTTTAGTCAACAAAATATTCCCGAGACACTTCTGCAATAGGGACAAAACGTATCCCGGAGTACAAATACAGATGAATACATGAATACAATTCTTTGTTCCCGAATTGGGGTAAGTGCGCAGGGTGCTATTCTTGACGAATGCTAGTAGTTTGGGTTTTGTTCTTTTTGTATCACTTTTTGCACGTTTTGTTGACCAGCAATCTTAATACATGCACTGGACCCCGCAAAAAAAAAAAAAAAAAAAAACCACTATCGACATAATAGAGATCCCAAATGAATAATGGAGGCTATTGGCTGCGTGTCATGATTGAAAAAAAACTGCATCTGAATCATTCAGGTTCAGAAGATTGACCAGTGCCTAACCTAATTACACGATAACTGTCGAAACATAAGGAAAAAAATGCTCTTGCAAGTCCCGTTTGTAAAAGTATAAAGTTCTGGCTGAAAAGGAGGAGACTGGTGGTTCCCTCCTTTTCAGCGCTTTCTATGCTTAAGTAAAAAGAGTGGAAGGCTTTGTGGGAGGAGAATAGTCTGCCTTTCTTTCAATGAACCTACTTCAAACCCCCCTTTTTTTAAATCAGGTTAACTCCCATTCCGCATGGAGAAGATTAGGCTGAGGACACACAGAAAAGGTGGTTTTCAGTTAGTGCAAAAATACAATAGTTATATTTTGACAACGAATGCAGCAAGATTCCCAAGATTAGCAGAGTCTCCGATATAATAGAGACATTGTTAATGCATTTCACTACTGATGCAAGTATAGTTTTCGAATGTATCTGTATACAAAGATACAGATACTCGAAAGTAGCTCTAAGATATTATCGCGATACATCTGTATCGATGTGCTGCCCAGCCCTGGTGTTGATCAGATGAACCTACAGCCCTTTTGTGCATGCGTTTTCCCACAAATATATGTAAACATTTCTCCCAGGTGTCTACATGTATTTTCTTATTAATAGATGTGTGGAAATGCCGGTGACAAATAATTGAAGGAACTGAACAGAGGTTGAACATTGTGCACTTCATTCTGCGGGATCTGGAGACCACCTCGCTGTTCCCGTTGACGTGTCAGATTCAGTTTCTGTGGCAGCTTTGTTCTACGAGATTAAGGCTCGTTGTCATGTGCCCTTGAGCATTGTGGTGAACAGTGCCGGCCTTTAACTCACTGCAGAGTTTATCAACACTAGCGAAGAACTCTTCGACACCTTGATTGCAGTGAACTGAAAGGTGTGAATACAATCTTTGGATGCCCCTATTTCGTTTGTTCATCGCCGACGTTTACTGGAAATGTGAAAAACGCTCAATATTAGTTCGAGACGTTGTTCAAAAACCTTTTCTCTTTGTGCTAGTTATTTCCGTCATGTACAGTTTTGAATAACCAGTGACAGAAAATACATTACTAAGCGTACTCTTGGCGGATTCGACATTTGACTAATCTCAGAAATGCTGTAAAGTCCACACAATCAACTGCAGCTTGATAATTATTACTGCTGTTGCGACTGTTGTGCACAGCTTTGTGAAATGTGCATAAAGCTGTATGGAAGTTTTTTTACAAAAGGAGATATCGCAGAAAAAGCGCGAGGACTTATTATAATCAGAGTTACGTTTCCCACACATGTGAGATAAATCGACCGAAACTTCTAAAACGCGGAAAATATTTTCATAAAATTAAAAAAAAGAAACGACAATACAGACACGTAAATTACAAATATATGGCGTTCAAGGGAGGAGTGTGGGAAATAGGGGTTTGTATCGGTGTGATATCTGCCATTCACTGCCTTTAGCGTGCTAGGAAAAACCACGAACACCGGCTCTCTTTGCAGTGTTGAAGCTAAAGAATATTCTGCGTTAATAGACACAAAACAGTAGTTGTAAAGCCTTAGTTGAAATGACATTCTCAATTCACTTACAAGAAATGCCCACTCACAGTTCGGTAAAAAGGTAAAAAGGTGCAAACAAGCTTTTTGTTTTTACAAGTTTTACGCGATGCTGGTTTGTATTTTTTTTTTCACGTGTCGTCGAGGCTCTAGTTGATTGTATGTACATCATTTTATGAGAAAATTTTTAAAAGCCTGAAAAATATGCTGTAGAGATAAAAGTACACTCTTGGTTGGAAAAGAACAACTACTTTTGCGGGACGTCAAAAAAAGGAAAAATATATTTATTAGGCAAGGTAATTACTAGATATTTAGTAATTATTTCTAATGAGTGAAAAATCATTTAAGGTTCTGCTGAGAAACTGGCTAGGCATAATCGACAACCATGAAGTCAACAAGGTAGGGGCAGCATTTTATAGAGTTCTGAATGCACGCTGAGTTCGGACGCATTTCTAGCGGAGTGAAGCCGCCGTTTCGCAGGATGGAGGGAAGTATGAGGCACGAGCGTTGCGCGACTCGGCCACTGGGGAGCAAGAGCGCGAGCGCAGAGGTGGGATTCGATGAGAAACCACAACCTAAAAACACGTCCAAATCGAGCGTTTTTATGATAATCCGTGAA